ACAAAATATATTTGTTTAATTTCATTGTTGTATACTTTCTTATTCTTCAAACTGTTTTCCCGTGTTTTTAATATATCCAAAACCAAAGATTAAATAAAACAGTTTATTTATTAAAAAATAATCATTTTTTTGTGTATTCCAAGACAACACTATGATACACACACACTGAACTAACCACCAAGATAAATTGAACAAAACAGTAAAACAATTTGTACATAAAAGTTTTTATTTTATATTAATGGCGGATCTGGTTACTGAAAAAACACTTAAACATATACTAAACATAAATGACAACATTAACAATCAACATATCCAAATTCACCTTCAAATTGTCTGCTGCAGCATCTGAAATATAACAATTTGACTGCAAATCAGAAATTATTGATTGCAAAGATTGGACCTTAGTTTGTAAACGACGATTTTTTTCCATCAAATTTTTAGTTTTTGAGCGAAGACCTGAAATGGTTGATTGGACAACAGGAAAATTGCGACGTGCTCTATTAGGACTACTAAAATCATTAATGCTAAGGTCCCCAAAACGTGTAGAATTACTGGATTTTGAATTTTTTTTGGCAAGAGGTGAAATAGAATCAAATAATTTTCTGAAAACAAAAAATTATTTTATTTTGGTTATTCATATAATAGGTAGGTAATAATTATGAATATAAATTTACCTCTTAGCATTCACTGGTGAATCTTCCATAAATGTATCATTATTATGTTCTAATGTTTGGGACAATGGTGAATTTAAACTGGTTGTAGCAGTAGCACTGAAATTTAAAATTTATTAAATAAATTTAAAAAAAAAAGAAAACTTACTTTTTAGAAGCGAGAGGAACAGCATCTCTTAAAAGGATCATCCGGCCTCCACTACTGATAAAATGCTCCTCATCAAAATGCTTAGAACATACACGATGCCAATTACTGACCTCAGTAAGCCCAAAAGCCTGCATCCAGGCACCTCGCCTATCATCTTTAGGAAATCTATTATATTATAAAAATTAAATTGATCAGAGAAAAACAAATTATGACAAATAATATTTTATATATAATTCTAATACTTACAAATGGAAAGATAATTCTTCATTTGTATTGGATTTTGATTTGCACACCACGCATATGTGCACCATTATAATAAATTGAACGTATATTATGTTAAATAAAATGTCAAATAGAATAATATGAAAAATATTATGGAGGTACGTGACAAAAGTTAAATAATTTGAATATTCAAATAATTGACAATTAAAAAAGGCACGAAATTTGAATATTCAAAATGACAATTTAAAAAGGCACGAAATTTGAATGATTGATAAACGAAAAGTGATAAGTGATAACCGTTGAACCACATTGGACCATCCTACTACCACCCTGGTTTCTTGGGTGCTCTCTGAACACGCGAATATTTGTTGAATGGCCTATCCTCTATATATTATCTATGGTTATTTCAGAAACCCAATGTTATAAATAGTTATGTACTCCGTGATAAGTACAAAAAAATATAACAAAGATGATAATATTGGTATTGTCATTTGTCATTTTAATAATAACTTATCAATTAAATATATTTTTTGCCAACAATATTGATAATATAGATTCTTACCATGATAAAACAATTATAAATTTAACAAATATATTGTTTGAATGACATACTATTATTATGATGACAAATTTAAATATTGTTAAAGTTTAATAAGATAGTATTGTCAATGAAGTTCAAGATATTTTTTTCAGTGTGGTTGTATTTCAAAATGCTTTCAAAATTTTCAATTTTGAGCTCTCAAAAGTATCAATTATATTCATTTTTCTGTTAGTATAGATACATTAGATACCAATGTTGAGAATCTGAGAATTTTTAGAATCTCAAGTGTCGATAACAGACTGAAAAAACACACATTTTTGTAAAATCTATAAATTTATTCGCTATGTTCAAAATTTAAAAATTTTTAATTTTTAATGTCTGTAAATAGCTCAAAACTTTTAATTTTAATTTTAATTCCAAGTATTTAAGGTTTTTGAATTACAACAAAATAAGAAAATCGTTTCCTGAGAAACGTAGTGAATGTATACTGCAGTAAAAATGTTAAGTTCAAATGCTCATAAAAATGTAATTCGACTTTCCTGTAGTCATTTCTTTATGAGTATTTCATGGTTTCGTACTTCAAGGAATACGGCTTATTGAATGGTTTCACAGTAAACATACCTATAATAAAAATTGTAAAATAGAATTTTATCTAGAATCGTAAGATGACTAATTTTTGATAACGTATTCCGATAGTCTAATATCGCATGTTATATTCACAAGTTTTTTAAATTTTTTATTAGCTAAATACTTAAATGATTAATAAAAAAATCGAAAGTTGGGACTATTAAATTTCTGGATAATATTCTCCTCTGCAATTTTTATGATAGTTATTTTTGATGTAAACCGCTTCAATATGTCGTATTATTTTGAAGTGCGGAGCAATGTTTTTATAACATATTTTGCTCACTAGTGAGAATTCTTAATAAATCTGGCATTGTTTAAACGCCGATATGCTCCTACGACTTAGACGGTTAGCTATATCGACTTGCGGTGTATATATTAAATAAATAGAAAGGACAAAAGATGACCCACCGGTGAAATAATACTGGTGCACAAAAAAAAATATAACGCTATATATCATTAGCGGTGTATTGAACGCCAAAAAGAAGGAAAATCAATATATTATGATATATTAAACACACATATATAATAATTTCTGTTTATCGCCATTACCGATCCTACAATGATCGGCGGTTGTCGGCAACGACTCGCGTGTTGTGTTGTAGACAGGAGCGGAGTGGGTTACCCAAGTATATGCAAAATAATATCACGTCAGATAATTCTAAGGTGCTTATGACACCGATCGACAGAATATATTGAACAACACAAACATCAAATTAAATAATAATAATAATAATAATAAATTAACTGGTGGTATAGGGCGCCCAGGAAAAATTACCAATACACATCTATATATAAACAACAATATCGGTACACAATATAGTATAAAATTACAATAAACAATGATTTACAAAATAATGAAGACCTGGTTCGTTGCAACTTGCCCGACGATGCCCGTAGCCTGGTCGGTGATGGCAGATTCCGGTGTGTGGCACAAAGACAGCAGATGCGCAAAAAAAACGGTGGCCGACAGATACGGGCCCAACCACTGGAAAAAGACAAAAACGGAAACCTTGTCGGTCAACGGTCTGGCTATCGCCAGACGAACTGTCACCGAACACTGGAGGGGGGAACTTGTTAGAGTCGCTTTTATCTCCGCTACCCCTTGATGTCCGAAGAAATTTATATGTATGTATTATTATATGGCCGAATCGCTCCGCGCTCGAACAATTACAAAAGGGGGCCCCAATATAATATGATTAACTACATGTAATCAAGTTACAAAGACATGAATGGTAGAATTGACCTGAACCGCTGATGAAATGCACGGTCCTCCTGGTCGACTTCAATCCCAACGTGGAATGGTCAATGACGGTCGACGACACACAGCTGGCGGCACGAAGTTAGTTGAATGACGGCGACAACGGGAAAACCCAAAGGTCCGCACACGTGGTGACGGCACGCTGTACTCAGCGGCGGCACGCGACTCAACAGCGGCACGTGATGTACAGCTGCTGCACACGAACGTATCGGCGGCACGCGGAAGGTAGCGGCGGCACACAACGTTTGTACTTGTAGTACTGAGTACTGACGGCAAAAATGGCGGAAAACTACACACGTCGCAAACGTGGATGCGATACCGTCATGAACTAAGATATACAGGACTGGACACAAAGCCTTATCAGCCGGTCAGACAATGTTACGCATTACTCCTTTAAGTTGAATCTACGCTATCTGGTAACGAATTAGTTTGTTAATGTTATTACTTAGTAATACTAAGTAACAAGTAACGACGCACATCATTAACATCTAGTGCATAGTATAAAGAATAATATTATTCCTTAATATACTATGTATTTTTAATATAATGTTTAAGATGTTCTAACTTTTAAATTTTAATCATTTGTTAAATGGTTATAAAATATATAAACTGCAAATAAAAAAGGGTGTGAAAGTTATTTAAAATATTCATCATACTATATATTTAAACTAATAATAGGTAAAACTATATGTTTGTAATTTTTCACAAAATCATCATAGGCAAAAAAAATATATTGGAGACCAATAAAAAAAGTAAAAACAGATAGTTAAATATTTATTTAGTATTTTTGGGTTCTTTTTTTTAGTGGAGGGAAACTATTTTATATTTATTTAATATTACTTCATCATTTTGTGGATATGGTAATAGTTCTGGCAAAATTTCATTTTTCGGAGACCACTTAAGTTGTTTTCTACAAGATGGTTGAAGTGGTAAAGACTAAAAAGAAATCTTAGATTAGAAATACTTAATACATTCATACCTTAGTTTATTTTTTCTCATTTTAAGAAACTCTTAATATAATTAGGTTTGTAAGGTTAAGTAGTTAAATATTTTAATTATTATTTAATTTAGGTACCTCATACATAGACGATTGTAGTATATCAGAACAATAATAGTTACTATTTGATGTTGAAGGTATGTTATAAAAGCCAACACTTAGGGAATTACTAGTAGCAATAATATGTTGATCTAAAAATAAGATGAATTGAATAGATATATTTTTTTATATTATATACATATATCCATGTAATTAAATCATTACACTAACCATTTATTTCAAAAATTGAAGGAATAGCATTTTTTTAGCCTAGGCTTAGTAGCAGACAGTGGAATCACTATCAGATGAAGAAAATGAAACATTATTATCTGTTGAACTTGAACTAAAAGAAAAAAATTAATTTAATATTATTTTATTACCAAACAAATTAGAATAAACAATGGTAGGTATTAACAATTATTATAATTATTCAAATCATGTAATACCAGACAGTTACACAGTTACCTTTGTTTAATACTAGCATACCTATTACAACTACCAAAATAACTCCTTATAATATCGTCATTAGTAAAGTGGAGTTCACACAAATATTTGACAGTAGTTCGTTTGTGATTAACTTTTAGACCATATTTCAAAAGTATCTTTATTTTTCGGCGCTTGAAATATCGAGTATTTTTAATGCTTTCGATTTTTACACAGTAGCACAGAACAGTCGTTAACCATTTTTAAATTTTTTTCGAAGGTAATAACGTTATACAAAATTTAAAACAGTATGCTTATAGCATGTACAGTATAGAATGCTATTATAATGTGTTAAAATAAACATATTTATGTTTTATTTTTGAAATAATATGTATTTATAGCATGCAAATTGTGTTTTAATTAGATTGCGCCAGATCCACTTAAAGGAGCGGCGAAACATTTACTGACTGTACCCCTCATACCCGCCCACCCAACAGTGTCCAGTCCTGTATATCTTAGTTCATGGACACCGTATACACACCAGTCGAGCACGGCAACGCGGAGAAGGCGTCGTGCCGACGGTTAGAAAATAACAAAACAACGAAAAACAACAGAACCGAAGCTGGCCCGGAGTCGTCGTCATACGACCGAAGCGTGCAAAATCGAGGCGGCTACAAACAAAGGCTCAACGCCGAAGTCGCGGTTGGTGGTCGGGTTGGCGGGCACAAACCGGTGGTCAAACGGTGTGCGTCCGAACAGGCAGTGTGTCCCAGATTTAACATTCTTAAAGTAAAAACTAAATTCCATTTGCTTCCAAAACCTTATATCAACGTTGATGATTGATTTATTTATGGTGCTTAAGGTGCTGAAAATGACTGAAAAAGAACTTCTAGTACAGCTAGTCAACACTTTCATGGCTTTCTATTTTTTTATTTCTCTTTTTGTCTTCGATGATGAACAGTAAAAACGCAGTATCGGATTTGGCGCATTAAATAATGACGGTCAATGCTAATGATGGGTTAAATATTGAGGTATAAATAAATTATGGATAGCTACAGAAAAATTAATAGGTACTACCTAAATTCCATTAAAACGAGATACCTGACCACCTTAAAAAAAAAATCTGTTGAGTTTGTTGATGAAATACTGAAACATTTATTTTATTTTAAATTCAAATTTTCTTTCAAGTGATCACTAAAAATGTATACTTATAGCGGCAAAATTAAGTTCAGCTCTGAAGGATTTGAATTGATGTGGAGATTTAATTAAAGTGTTTTTAATCTAATAAGTTACTGACATAAATCTTATATGAAGTAGAATGTAGATAGATACCTATACCAAAAACAATTTTTATTATATCATTTATTTTTACAGAACTAGCAGTTCAATACCTTGAATATATAATCAGTATGTATAATTAAAAGAGTGTTATAAAACTGATGTCATGCTCGGACTATGGTATTTAAGTAAATGTACAGACTACAGAGCATGGTTGTCAGGGGGAGTAGT